AATATGGGGAATCTGGTTATTTGTGGCTATTCATTTGTGTGTTCCAGTTCCCCCTCATTCTCGCTCCCCCGCAGACGCGCTCCCTCGCGGGGCGCCGCCGCAGGGGGGGCCCCGGGGCCCCGCGCGCCGCGCAAGGCCGCGATGTGGGCGGGCCTCGCGGGGCAGGGCCCGCCGCCTCCCCGCGGCCCGCGCCCCACGAGCGCGCGCCCCTCGGCGGCCCGCGGCGGCCCCCGCCCCTCCCTGCCGCCCGCGCCGCCGGCGCCGCCCGCGCCGGGCCCCCGCGCCGTGGGCTGGCAGCAGCGCCAGGCGCCGGGAGGGCCGAGCGCCAAGTGGGCCGCGCCGGAGCAGCCGAGCGCCAAGAGGGCGCGGCGCGGCGCCGGCGGCGCCTGGCCGCCGGCGGCGCCCGAGTCCGTTGCCGTGGACGACGAGGAGGAGGAGGCGGGGGGCCACGCTGCTCCGCGGCCAGCAGGCTCCAGTGGGGCCTGTGCCTCCACAGGAGGAAGATTCCAAAGTAGCACAAAATTGCTCCAACGGATGGGCCCCACGTGGAAACCTAATTTTGTATGGGATAGGTACACTATCAGAATGATGCTGCTCCTGCTGACGCTGCTGCTGCTCCTCCTCTTGACGGCACCGTGGTTGAAATCCCCGCTTCCTCCCCCTCTTTCTCCTCCTCCTCCTCCTCCTTCTCCTCATCCTCCTCCGCCTCCTCCTCCTCGACCGGCTTTCATTTCAACCACCTCCTCCCGACGCCGCCGTGGTTGAAACTCTTCCTCCCCACTCGCTCCTCTTTCTCCCTCCTCCTCCTCCTGCCCTCCTCCTCCTCCTCCTCCTCCTCTTCCTCCTCCTCCTCCTCCTCTTCCTCCTCCTCCTCCTCCTCCTCCTACTCCTCATCCTCACGTCTCCTCCTCTTCCTCCTCCGCCTTGAGCAGCTTCCATTTCAACCGCGTCCTTCTGACGGCACCGTGGTTGAAATCCCCGCCTCCTCCTCCTCCTCCTCCTCCTCCTCCTCCTCCTTCTCCTAAACCTCCTCCTCATCCTCCTCCTCCTCCGCACGAGCGGGCTCGCATGGAATGCCCCTGAGGGTCATTCCGTGCGAGCGGGCTCGCTGATGCCGATAGCCGTTGGAATTCCAACTTTTAGGTGGGACCCCCTAGGGGCCACAGGGGAGGTCCCTTCCGCGCGAGCGGGCTCGCATGGAATGCCCCTGAGGGTCATTCCGTGCGAGCGGGCTCGCTGATGCCGATAGCCGTTGGAATTCCAACTTTTAGGTGGGACCCCCTAGGGGCCACAGGGGAGGTCCCTTCCGCGCGAGCGGGCTCGCATGGAATGCCCCTGAGGGTCATTCCGTGCGAGCGGGCTCGCTGCTGCCGATAGCCGTTGGAATTCCAACTTTAGGTGGGACCCCCTAGGGGCCACAGGGGAGGTCCCTTCCGCGCGAGCGGGCTCGCATGGAATGCCCCTGAGGGTCATTCCGTGCGAGCGGGCTCGCTGATGCCGATAGCCGTTGGAATTCCAACTTTTAGGTGGGACCCCTAGGGGCCACAAGGGAGGTCCCTTCCGCGCGAGCGGGCTCGCATGGAATGCCCCTGAAGGTCATTCCGTGCGAGCGGGCTCGCTGATGCCGATAGCCGTTGGAATTCCAACTTTTAGGTGGGACCCCCTAGGGGCCACAGGGGAGGTCCCTTCCGCGCGAGCGGGCTCGCGTGGAATGTCCCTGAGGGTCATTCCGTGCGAGCGGGCTCGCTGATGCCGATAGCCGTTGAAATTCCAACTTTTAGGTGGGCCCCCCTTGGGGCCACAAGGGGAAGTCCCTACCGCGCGAGCGGGCTCGCGTGGAATGCCCCTGAGGGCCATTCCGTGCGAGCGGGCTCGTTGATGCCGATAGCCGTTGGAATTCCAACTTTTAGGCGGGACCCCCTAGGGGCCACAGGGGAAGTCCCTTCCGTGCGAGCGGGCTCGCTGATGCCGATAGCCGTTGGAATTCCAACTTTTAGGTGGGACCCCCTAGGGGCCACAGGGGAAGTCCCTACCGCGCGAGCGGGCTCGCGTGGAATGCCCCTGAGGGTCATTCCGTGCGAACGGGCTCGCTGATGCCGATAGCCGTTGGAATTCCAACTTTTAGGTGGGACCCCCTAGGGGCCACAGGGGAGGTCTCTTCCGAGCGAGCGGGCTCGCATGGAATGCCCCTGAGGGTCTTTCCGTGCGAGCGGGCTCGCTGATGCCGATAGCCGTTGGAATTCCAACTTTTAGGTGGGACCCCCTAGGGGCCACAGGGGAGGTCCCTTCCGCGCGAGCGGGCTCGCATGGAATGCCCCTGAGGGTCATTCCGTTCGAGCGGGCTCGCTGATGCCGATAGCCGTTGGAATTCCAACTTTTTAGGTGGGACCCCCTAGGGGCCACAGGGGAGGTCCCTTCCGCGCGAGCGGGCTCGCATGGAATGCCCCTGAGGGTCATTCCGTGCGAGCGGGCTCGCTGATGCCGATAGCCGTTGGAATTCCAACTTTTAGGTGGGACCCCCTAGGGGCCACAGGGGAGGTCCCTTCCGCGCGAGCGGGCTCGCATGGAATGCCCCTGAGGGTCATTCCGTGCGAGCGGGCTCGCTGATGCCGATAGCCGTTGGAATTCCAACTTTTAGGTGGGACCCCCTAGGGGCCACAGGGGAGGTCCCTTCCGCGCGAGCGGGCTCGCGTGGAATGCCCCTGAGGGTCATTCCGTGCGAGCGGGCTCGCTGATGCCGATAGCTGTTGGAATTCCAACTTTTAGGTTGGACCCCCTAGGGGCCACAGGGGAAGTCCCTACCGCGAGAGCGGGCTCGCGTGGAATGCCCCTGAAGGTCATTCCGTGCGAGCGCGCTCGCTGATGCCAATAGCCGTTGGAATTCCAACTTTTAGGTGGGATGTGTGTGTGCGTGTGTGTGTGTGTGACTGGGCGTGGGTGGGTGTGGGTGGGTGTGGCCCGCGGCCGTCCAGAGAAAACAAGAACCCCACTTAGGATGTGGGGAAATAGTCTGGGGAACATGTTGTTGACTATGTTCGAGCATTTTGGGATGCATTTTGGGGGGTATTTTTAACACCATTTGTTCGTCCAAAATCCCCCCTGTGGGGGGACAGGCCCGACCTCACAGCAGGCCTGAGGTGGAGCCTGCCCGTGGACGACGGCCACAGCCGGCCGCAGGAGGGCGCGGAGGATCAAGCAGTGGCGAAGCGTCCCGGCTCCCCTATAGCCCCACCAAACAATGTTCTAAGAACCTTTTGTGGCTCCCACGACATGTTCTTAGAACGTCTCTGGCGGAGTCTGTCTTTGTTTGAACACGTCGGGCTCATGCTCCAAGAGGATGGTTCTTCTTATTCGAACATTTGTGGGTTCTGAGAACATTTCGTGGTAGGACTATAGGAATGCCGGGACGGTCGGCCCCTGCTCAAGGGTGGGGGTCGCAGGGGCGCGCCGCATCGTCGATGCAGCGGCGATGCGGCGGTCCTCCTCCTCCTCCTCCTCCTCCTCCTCCTCCTCCTCCTCCTCCTCCTGCTCAAGGAGGAGGCCTCCTCCTCCTCCTCCTCTTCCTCCTCCACCTCCTCTTCCTTGTCGTCCTCCTCCTCCTCCTCTCCTCCCCCTCCTCCTCTCCTCCTCCTCCTCTCCTCCCTCCTCCTCCTCCTCCTCCTCTCCTCCTCCTCCTGCTCAAGGAGGAGGCCTGGGACTCCGCCGCCGGCGGGGCGCCAGCGGGCGCCGGCGCGCCCGGCCGGGGGCCTGCCGCGGCCCCCCGCGGGCCGGCCCCCCCCGGGCTGCGGTGGCAGCGCGGGGGCAGCGCGCCGTCGCGGCCAGCACAGAAGGTCTCATGAGGGGGGGGAAATTTCAGAGCCCCGAATCATCAGGGGTAGCTCGGGTCAGGGCTAACTCGGGTTCCTTTTTCGGGAAGCCGAACCCGAGTTACCCCGGACCCGAGTTACCCCGGATAACTCGGGCATCCAGAGCCCCATATCATCAGGGGTAACTCGGGTCAGGGTCAACTCGGGTTCGTTTTTCGGGAATCCGAACCCGAGTTACCCCTGACCCGAGTTACCCCGGATAATTCGGGCATCCAGAGCCCCACATCATCAGGGGTAACTCGGGTCAGGGTTAACTCGGGTTCGTTTTTCGGGAATCCGAACCCGAGTTACCCCGTAACCGAGTTACCCCGGATAACTCTGGCGCCCAAAAATTAAGCACACAGGCGCGATGCATCGTCGATTCCCAGGAAGATAGAATCAGAGCTGGGAGCAAAGAGTGGGGGAAAAATTAGGGGAATAAAGAGTGGCATGAACATAAGAACTCGGAGGTCCGCGCGGATTTCTCGGATCGGCGCTGGGGCCCCCCGGCGGCGCCGCCCCTGGCGCGCTCCGCGCGCCAGGGAGGGGTGTCCAGCGCCGATCCGAGGAATCCGCGCGGACCTCCGAGTTTTCATGTTTGTGTTACTTTTTGTTCCCTTAAAAAAGCACACAGACACGATGCATCGTCGATTCCCAGGAAGGTCAAATAAGATATGGGGAATTCTGGGAAGCAGGGGGGAAGACGAAAATCCCAAACAGATGGGGAAAGATGGGGAATCCTGTTGTTTCGTGCCTATTTCTCTGTGTATCCCAGGGCCCCTTTTTAAGGTCTGGCGGATGCCCGAGGAGTTGGGCTTGCAGGTCGCGCCCGGGGTGGAGCGCAAGGGCTGGGAGATCGGGTCGATGGAGGACGGCGTGAGGCCGAGCGAGGACGGCGAGCCCGACGTCTTCCTGTCGCACTCGTACACAGACAACTGCCGCAGGGTGGACATTAGGGGAACAAAAAGTGACATACACATAAAAACTCGGAGGTCCGCGCAGATTTCTCGGATCGGCGCTGGACCCCCCTCCCTGGCGCGCGGAGCGCGCCAGGGGCGGCGCTGGAGGCGCCGCCGGGGGGCCCTAGCGCCGATCCGAGAAATCCGCGCGGACCTCCGAGTTCTTATGTTTATATCACTTTTTGTTCCCCTAGACATGGCGCTGTTCGAGTGCGATTGCCCGAACAGGCAGGCTTGCTGCTCGCACGCCTATGCCGCCATCGTCGCGCTGCCCCAGTACAGGCACCGGGCCGCGCTGCTGTGGCTCATGCAGGAGGAGGCGTGGGCCAAGGGCCATGACGGAAAGTGGACGCGTGACGTCACCGACGTCGGGGCCACGGGGGCGCGGCTGAAGAAGAGGCTCCTGGAGAGACTCCCCCTGGACGACCTGGTGGACGCGGCAGTGGAGGCGTCTCTTGGGCTGTACGTCCGGGTGCAGTCCCTGCGGGACGGCAAGGAGCCCAAGATGCACAGGTACTGGAGCGGAGCCGTCGAAGGGGCGCTCAGGAATCATCGAGAACAAAAGAACCCCTAACCCTAATAACATAGTGACGTCTTGGCCTCACTTAGGTCCCCGTCTTTGCCTTAGGGATGATCAGTTTGGGCGGTTTGGTTTGGTACATCTGCAGACAAGACCCCATACTTATCCCTAATGCCTTTGGCCCTCCCAGCTTAGGTCCCCTCCTAAAGGGTTAAGGTTTTTTTGGGGGGTTCACCAAGGAAGCTAGGCGAGAAGGTGGACGGAGCCATGGCGGAGGACGAGGAGGAGGGCGAGGCGCCCGGCGCCCAGGCCCTCAAGCGCCTGTCCGCCTTCGTGGAGAAGCTGTCGATGAAGAGGCCCCAGGTCGCGCCCCTGCTGGCGGCCCTGGCGTCCGGCGAGCTGGGCGAGGAGGGCGATAGCGGCGGGCAGCCGCCGCTGCTCGCTTCCCTGCAGCACCGCCGCTGGAGCCGCCTGTCGCGGCAGGTGTGCAGGATGGGAAGAGGCACACAGACACGATCCATTGTGGACCCCCAAGGAAAATATGGGAAAACATGGGCAGTGGGGGGGAAGACAAACATCCAGGAAATTTCAGGAAAATATGGGGAATTCTGTGATTGGTGTATATCTATTGGAGAGGCCTGACGGCCTGTGCCGCCGACCCTGATCGAAAGGGCTAGGAGTGGGGGGAGGAAGCGGAGGATGAGGAGGAGGAGGAGGAGGAGGAGGAGGAGAAGGAGGAGGAGCCCCTTCACAGGTGTGGGCCTACGTCGCGGGGGCCACGGCGCAGGGGCCCGAGGCCGCGGGGCCGGGCGGCGTCTCCCTGGAGGACGTCCGGGGCGCCGCGGCCGCGGCCGCCGAGGAGGCCGTGGGCGAGCTGCCGGGGCGGGGAGCTCAGCTGCTCTGATGCTCGGGCCGGGCGAAAGGGGGGGATTGGGAAAGGGGGGGTTACGAAATTTGCTGCATGCAGCTGGTTTCGGCCCACCGAGGGGCCCATTCCTCGATACATAGCCGCCTCCGGCGCCGGGAGGCGCCGGGAAAATCAGCTACGTGAGCTGATTCTCACCCCCCCTTTGCTATCCCCCCCTTTCGCCCGACCCGAGATGCGCCCGTGTTGGAGCGCAGCGCGTGCAGTCAACCCGCCTAGGAAGGACGGGCAGCCTTCCCAAGGGTACTGTATAAGTGAACTTAATTGGTTTTGGGGTTTCAACAAATGGTCGCGGCCACGCAGAGGGCGTGCGTAGCGACGCCCCAAATGCTCGGTCTCCAGTACTTCTACGTGGCGGCGCCCCCGCAGGCACGCAGAGGGCACGCGTGGCGACGGGGGCGCCGCCACGCAGAGCTTCTAAAGACCAAACATTTTGAAAACCAATCGTTTCCACTACTAAAGTACCCCTGCATCCTTGCCTCCTCGGTGCATCCTTGGCCGCTTTCGTTGGTCGCGCCCCGCTCCAAAACTTCGGAAGGGGCTTCCAAGGGGCTGGCATCCTTATCGCCCATCCTTACTCTGCGGGTTGACTGCACCGTGTTCACAGAAGTCCGTGTTGAAACACGTTGCGTGTTGGCTCTGCACGTGCTGGTCCACGTTGTGGCGAGCACATCGCGCCAGGCCTCCGTTTGCGTCTTGCGCTACGGGTCAGCACGCTACGCTGGGGGAGCGAAGAATGACATGAACATAAAGACTCGGAGGTCCGCGCGGATTCCTCGGACCCGCACTGGGGCCCCCTGGCGGCGCCTCCGGCGCCGCCCCTGGCGCGCTCCGCGCGCCAGGGAGGGGGGGCAGCGCGGATCCGAGGAATCCGCGCGGACCTCCGAGTTTTTTGTATGTTTGGAGGACGAGGAAGAAAAGGAGGAAGAGGAGGACGAGGTGGAGGAGGAGGAGGATGACGATGACGATGAGGACGAGGACGAGGAAGAGGAGGAGGAGGAGGAGAAGGAGGAGGAGGAGAGCGCCATCGACAGGGAAGGTGGGTGCCACGAGGTCCGCCGGCTCGACGACGCCCGCGTCGCCCGCGCCCGCCCCCTCACTCTTATCCGCAATTGCGGGGTGCTGCGTATGTTTACGTCATGCATCCTACCCCTAAAGCGCGTTGCGCGTGGCGTCGCTTGGCAGCTCAGGTGGGGAGCGATGCGGCTCGCCGAGCGCCTGTGGCACGTGGAGCGCCTCGCCCTGCAGGGCCTCGGCGCCGAGACGTTCGCGGAGCTGCGCGTGCCGCGGCCAGACCTGGGCACTCGGGGGCAACGTTGGTCGGGGGGCGGCAGAGAGGGGGGTGATGACCAGGGGGGGGTGGATATCATGGCGGGTTTTTTGAGTTCGAGGGGGGGGGGTTCGAACCCGTAGTGACCCCCCCCTTTTCATGATGAACTGGGGGGGGGGAGGGGTTCGAACCGGTAGTGACCCCCCCCCGGTTTTCGGAGGGGGGGGGGAGGGGTTCGAACTGGTAGTGACCCCCCCCCCCGGTTTTCCGCCAGCAGCGGTAGAACACGCTCTTTCATATCATGGCAGGGGCCATGATCTTTCCCCAGGTCTCCTGGCGCCTCTTCTTACTTCAGTACGTCCCTGGCCCCCCCCGCTGGGCCGCGCACGTGCCGCCAGTCATGATTTGCACCCCCCCCCCTCTTGGATAATTACCCCCCTCTCGGCCGCTCCCGAGTTGGGGGGAGGGTCGGGGGGGGGGGGAGGAGTATCGACCCCCAATCGCCAACCGATCGCCGCGAGGGGCCCGACAGCCCACCCCGGCCAGGAGGAGGAGGAGGAGGAGGAGGAGGAGGAGGAGGAGGAGGAGACGTGAGGATGAGGAGGAGGAGGAGGCTCAGTCAGCGCTGAGCTGTCGGGGGTTTCTCCTCTCGCCGATGTCCAGGTCGATGCTTCTCGGGAGCGGAGGAGAACAGACACACTGGATCGTCGGCTCCCAGGAAGATGTGGGAATATATGAGAAGTGGAGGGAAGACGCAAAACCCACAACATCGAGAAGAACTATTGCGAATCTTGGGATTGGTGTCTATTGATCCATGTGTTTCTGGGCCTCTTTAGTTTCTCCCCCTTGTGCCAGTCCCCCCCCCGTCGTTGCCCCTCCAGGCATGGGGGAGGCGGGGAGTTACCGCAGCTTCCTGGAGCTCCTGGTGGACTGGCCCGAGGCCCCCGAGAGCCTGCAGGACAGCGAGCTTCGTGTTCCACAGACGCGTGCAGCAGTCACGATGGAGTGTGCGTGTGAGTGTGTGTGTGTGTGTGTGTGTGTGTGTGTGTGTCTGCGTGTCTGTGCGTCTGTGCTCGAAAAAGGAAGAGCGGCATCAACATAAACTTTCGACTATCCGCGCGGATGTCTTGGATCCGCGCTGGGGCGCCTTCGGCGCCACCCCTGGCGCGCTCCGCGCGCCAGGGAGGGGGTTCTGGCCCAGATCCGCGAAATCCGCGCGGAGCTCCAAACGTTTATGTTTATGCATTTGTTTCTTCCTCTATGTGTGAGAGAGGTATTTGTTAGGGTTACTGCCCTGCCGGGCCACCAACCCAACTGAACAGCCAAACCTACGCAGCACTTGGAGGCGGGAGTTCAGTAGCAAACTCGCTTGTTTTGCTGACCTGATTGCGTCGGCAGTGCGTTCCTCTTGGGCGAGTTTGCTGGACAGATTGGAGGGCTTGATTCGATTGACCTGGAGGGTTCGACGATGTACCTTCTCCTACTGCCACTCGTGTTCTTATTCATTGTTATGCCGATCGGCGCGGGCCCTCGCATCCCCTCCCCCCCCCATGGAGTAGATCTTAGCTGCTTTTGGCGCCTGTTTCAAGCAGGTGGAGCCTCCCCCACAGGACGCACTGCTGCAAACAGTCGCAGTAAGCAGAGTTCCGGAGCCAGATCCCCCCTTCCCCTCCTTCCGCTGAGTGTCGAAACGCCGAAGAAGACTGCGGCCACTATCCTCTTCTGTCATCCTCATCGTTATCCTCGTGCTCCGAAGCCTCATCTCCGCTGCACCTCCGAGGTGCGCGGGGTGAACGCAGCGACCGCTGCACGGCTGGCAGCCGCTGGCGGTACAGGGCGAGGCCTCGCAGGGGACTGCCTGTCGGTCGGGGCACCTCCACGCGGACCCCCAAAGGTTCCCTATTCGGGCACAGGACGGCTGCAAAGCTGATGCGCCTGGCAGCACCTGGGGACCCAGACCCTCGCGATGTGAAACAATCACGACCGTAGGTTCTTCGCTGTCTTCGGCCTCCGGGGGCCCTTACTGGGCCCTGGGGCCGTAAACCAACGATCCAGGATGAAGAGCCGCTCCCGCGGGGAAGGGGTCCAGGCCTCTGGGGGTCGACGTTTTGAAAAAAACACGCTGTCAGGGGTCTGGGGAGGGGTGAGGTCTCGTTGGGCCCTCGGAGGAGGGAGGAGGGAGGAGGGAGGAGGGAGGAGGGAGGAGGGAGGCGGCGGCGGCGGACGGTGGAATGAGCGTTCAAGCCGTTCTCTCTAAGCACGCGTTGGAAAAAACCCCTCGGGGAGCTTTACACCAACCTGGCTTGGGAAGAAACTCTGGACACCTCGTGGGGCCAGAGAATAGAAGAAAAGGACCAAGGGGCCAAGCGGCGTCTGCGCCTCTCCTTGGCTTCGGCTCGATTACGTCTGATGCGATCGAGCTGGGCAGTCGACAGGGTCGGAGGGGGGGGAGGGGGAAGAGGAAGGAAAAAGGAGGGGGAATCCCCGTCCTCGGGGATGTGGGTCGGCCCGGCCTCGTTGGGCGGCGCGACGGTCCTGACATCCTGCTCCTCCGCAGGTGGGTCCTGCGGCAAAGGGCTGGGATCCTCGGCAGGGGAGGAGGGAGAGGAGGGAGGCTGCCAGCGGCTGGATTCAGGATCACCTCGTTTCCTGGAAGTCGAGGTGCGTCGTGCGAAATCGGGAGCCTCCCAGAACGAGTCGTTCGGATCCCATGGAATGTGAAATTCACGAAGACAACCGGGGTCGGAGGGTGTGGGGTCCAGGTCCCATGGGTCACCAACATAGGTAGCAGAGACTATAGCATCCGTCATGGCCGTAGCAATGGCAGCACACATCCTGGTCGGGTAGGTCTTCTTCGCACTGGTTTTGAAGCTGTTGTCCTCGTTTTTACCGAGAAGCGTAGGATGGGTTCCCTTGCCGTGATTGCATTTGCCGTTGTTGCAGGCCGTGAGTTTGCCGTGCATGGTGGGAAGTCGGAGCGACATGATTCTCGTCGGTGCACGGCCGACTGTGGCCGGATCTGCATCATTGAGGGTGCACTGGTCGAAATCCGTCGTGGCAACAATGGGGCAGCATTCAAGAGAACGGAGAGGCATCCACGCAAAACTTGAAACTGCCTGGGCTCTCCACCACGCTGGTGCGGGGTGCTCCAACCATCCACAAGTCCCTGCTCTGATGTGTTCGGCGAGCAGGAGCACGAGACTGTGTAGGAGCTTGTTACCTACTTCGAGCTGCTGTGCCTGGGTAGGTGAGGCCCACGGCACTCCCCAGAAATACTCGGCCGTCCTGAGTGGGGGGGGCCCCCCCTCCAGCCATCTAGCTGGGCACCAGGACTCGCAGGGGGGTCCCCCCCCTGTGGCCCAGACTCGGCGAGCTCTGATGTGGCCTGCCCATTCGTCAATCGTAGCTTGACGGGTCATATCACAGCGTATGTTGTCGATAGATATGTCGATAGACAGTGTGACAATGTAAATATCCGGTCCATATTCGGCGTTGTCGATGTTGTGTTGAATATCACCCTGACGACGACGACCACAAAAAAGGTTTAGTATGTAGACCTCACGTCGCTGCACTCGCCACGGCACCTGCAGGGTGGCGAGATGTTGAAAGTCCTGCGGGCGGAAAAGGTAATGTCTGTCCGAGAATTGGGCCTCTGGGGGTTCACCAGGATCGTTCTGAGCACTGGGGGGGCGCCAGATCTCCTCCAGGGTCTCTTGGGCCTCGGGGGTGAGCTCGTAGAAGGCACCTCTGAGGAGCTCTTTGGCTTCGTCCTCATCGTATAAGGCAAAGACTTCTGCTGCTTCCCAGATCAGACCGTCGTCGCAGACCGTAGTGGTTGCTGGGTAGGCTGATCTCCATCTGCCCAACCCTGCACGTCGCTGGTCGGCGCAAGCCTGACGATCTCGTGCTGCTGCTTGCTGGGCCTCTTCAGCCGTCATCTGAGCTCCGTGCAAGAAATGTGCTAAACAGCAGCGGGCTGCGTCGTATGCCAAATGGTTGCGAAGTTGTCGGCGAGAAGCGAATTCCATGGAGCAAGCTCGACATACTGCTTTGTCCCCCATAACCCTTTCCACGTGTTGTACCATGGTAAAGTGTGTACGTATGATGTGTTGCCGTAAGGCTGTAACCTTATAGTAAGTTATGTGGCACCAGGGACAGATATATTGTTGTGCTGGTGGTCGGTCGGCAGCCCGCAAGGGATGATCAGGATGTGTGACTGGGAGTGGGAAGCCTCCTTCCCGAGCGCACTGGAAAAATATACGCTCCGCACGTGCTGCCCATGCTTGACGGGCGGCAGCTTGTGCAGCGCCAATCTGCGCTGCTCTGAGCTGCCGTCTCCATGAAGTAATGGATCTTCGAATGTGCTGTTCCCATGGGTGAAAGCTGTCCGCTGGGTCCGGGAAATCCTGGAACGATTTTGTAACCGTGCGGAGCCATCTAAGGTCGTCCAATACATGATGTATCCATGTGGTCTTGGTGCGCTGTCGTGCATGCTGTGGCTGATGCGGTGTATTGTGTAGTGAGAGCATGATGCGATACACATGTGCGAGCATACCTAGCAGTAGGTCGGATCCGTAGTGAAGCACTCGTCCCAGCAAGCGTAACCGATGCACGCGTAGCTGGACGTCGAGGTCTGCCCGTTCCACGTGGGCTAAAACCTCAGAGTCGGGAACAGCGTGCTCGTCATATCTCTGCAAACCTGCTGCTGCTCGATATCTCATAAGTATGTTGGTACGAAGTACTTTGTACGCGCCGTGCTCGATATTGATCCATGTGCCCGCGTTGTGTAAGAGCGAGGAGGAAATGAGCGCGTCTACAAATCTCATCTTCATGGCAGTGGCGCCAGCTTCATGCGGCACGCTGGGGAAGACTCTGCGTCTTAAAATCCGAGATGCTTGGGAGATACCTGCTATGCGGTGTGCTATTTCTGGCCCCGTCGCTCCTCGCTCGTCGATGATAGTACCTAAGTGGGGGTATTGTCGGACCGCATGTAGGGTGAAAACACCAGCACTGTCGGAATGTACTTGAAAGACCCCTTGACGTGTTTTCCAGAGCTCCAGACGTGCCACCTTAGACTGTTTGCCCCAGAACTGGAAGAGCAGCTCGGATTTCCCCTGCTTAAAGTTGAGGCGCAAGCCTCGCTCCGCGAAGCTGGACGCGACAATGCCTGCAACGTCGGCGGCAGTGCTGATCAGCCAGCACGGCGGCCCTAAGACTGCGAAAGCTCCGTCGTCAAAGAAACATATCTCCAGGGCGGGTTTGGTGCCGACAGGCTCGTGTTGTATTAGCTGCGCTAATGAGGCCCCAGGAAGCACTGGGACCTGTGTGGCAAGCTGTAGGGCTTGCAAACGCTGATTGGCTAAGTGGGTGCACTCAGCCATGATGAAATTGAAAACGATGTCCCCTAATGGTTGTCCTGGCACCGTCCCGAAAGTCGAAAGCGCGATAAGGTTGGACCCAGGGTAGGTAAACCAGGATCCGTGGTACGAAGCAGCGATGAGCGCCTGCAAGTGTGGGCTGATGGAGGCCTTCTGGAGGGCTGGGGGCTGACCACTGAGCCTCTCGAGTAACCTGTGCAGGGCTGCAGGTGGGAGCCCGGTGGTGTGCAGAAGCATGGCGACATCTTCGACCGTGTGACATGAGGCCATAACCAACTGACGTACGGATTTGTAGAAGGCCTGCACCACATCCACGAGTAGGAGCATGAGGGATGTGCCCTGTGCCTCCGCCAGGTTCTGTAGGGTACGTATCGCTAAACCCGCCAGGTCGACGCCCCGTCCCGCGATGCCCCCGTACTGCGAATCCCCCGCAACTTGTGGAAGGATATCAACAAGTGGCGTACGGACCAGGGCTCGAAACTTTTTGCCAATTTGGGGCGACACCATAACTGCCCTGGATGAAACTGGCCACGAGGGATCCCCTGACCTCTTCCAAATGTTCCAGTATATGCCTCCCTTC